GAAAAGGTGCTACTGAATTCTAGTTTACCTTTTAGGTTAAAATAGAATGCAGATATTTGCAACAAATTCTTCTACTCATCATATCCATCATCCTTTTTAAATTAAGTGTAAATAACATAAAATGACTCAAATTGAAGACATTGTTATTTCTTTCTTAAGCTGATGTTCAGTGCACAGTAAGCCTGTAATTCTTTCATCACTATCCCTTTTAAAACAGAATATTCTGCTTCCTATCAATTATTCTTTCTTCTACCTCTCCTAGGTTATTTCTCTCTGAAAGCCTCATATGGGAGTTTGTTTCAGCTTCTGTGGAGTTCATGCCCCAAATATGTCAGTTTCTTTCAAACTGTGGAGATGAGCTGCTGGCTGGTAGGTCTTGTACATCTAAGAGAACAGGCAAATCTACTAAAATTATGTGTACAGTGAAATGATTGTCTCAAGGAAAAAAATTAGAAAAAAAACCCCATTGGGGTAGAGTAGAGTAGAACAGGCTATGTAATAATCTTAATTTGTGGCAAAATATGAGTCTATTACAAATGTGGGGGGAAAAAGGCAATATTTTAACTGGTTAGAAGCTGAATTTTCAGGTTGTTCAGAATGTTACTTGTTACCTGCTAGGACAATTCTTCCTTTTTTTAAAATTCTTGTCTTCCATAGTTGAATCAATGATAGTAATTGCAGGTTGTAACTTGTTAGTAATCTTTGGACTTTACAGGTGAAGTCATTCCTTCCCTTCCCCCTCCCCCACCCCAGATCAGTGAGGAAATGATTAACAAAGGAGAGGGGTATAAAATTATCCAATTTTTTTTTCTCTTATTAAGAAAGAAGAGTACACAAAGCAGTTTAGGCAGACCTGTCCTAGGATATTCATATGCAAGCTAAAATTAAATAAATAGGCAATGGAAATGGAAGAGCAAGAAAAGACTAGAGGTAAACAATTTATCTGTGGTTGAATTTTGTGAGTTGACTTAAAATTAGTTTTTTAGCGATTGAAAAATTGACAAACTTAGATTGTGATCTAATGAAGGACTATTTTTTGATCTGGCCTCTTGCTTTGATGTGTATTTTACTTATCACTTAGATTAGAATTTTTGTATGGGTTTCTTTGCCTACTTCTATTCTGGAGATTAGCCATTCAGAAAGTCCTTGAATCATGAGAATTAGTGGAAAGTGATCTTTCAAATTTGCCTGTAATTTTTCCTTTTTCTCTCCTGTGAATCATTCTAACATGATGGATGCTAAATTCCCCCTCCCTGTATGAGGAATTGCATACTGATTCTTTTGGAAATAAAATAAACACAGAAGTGGCCAGTAAAGGGGCAGATTGATGGTTCCTAATTTCTGTAATTATGGACGGTTAGGTAGAATCTGATGACAGGGAATAGTTACAGCTGGAGTTACAATATATTATGAATTAATTTTATATTCTGGATCAAGGTAATTTAAGAATAAAACCCAAGATATTGATAGGTGCCACAACACCCAGCACTGAAGACCAACACCTCCTAGAGTACTTTCGAGAGTCTGCTCAACAGATGAATTTGAAGACAGTCTATGTCACTGGTAGCGGTAGAGTTCAACCATTTTACAGTTTCACGTTTAGGATTACTAACATAATTTTAATGCACGTTATGCCAGTTCAAGTCAAGCTACATTTGAAGTATTTCCACCTTGCTTTGTGTTTTGTGGGAAGAATTAGTGTAATATCTGTGCAGTTAGCTTTTAAGGACCTGGATGGTTTTGAACACACTTTGATAGCATTCTATGAACTACTGTTTCTTAAATTTTTGATCTTCAGTGTGTTAGACAGAAAGACAATCTTGGCCAGCCAGCCATGGGAAGAAATCCTTTTTCTTTCTTTGGATGTAACTTTAAAGATTAGCCAACTAATGATGATATATTGTGTAAATTAAGTATTTAACATTCCAAAACATATTGATGTATTTGAATTCAGCTCACCATGTAGTCTTCCTTGTTCCTCTTGGCTGATGCACAGTCAAAAGTTCCATTATATTCTATTGAATTTGAAACCAGATTAATGTCTAAAACATTTCTTTGTTAATAAGTTATATTAAAGAGAAAAGTACCTTTTTGAAATTACTGCTTATTAGGTTGCAAACAGCCACAAACAGTGCTCCTATGAAATTCTTCTACTAACTTCTCAGCGTAAATGCATTATGGTACAAGTGGTGTCCTAAGACTTATCCCTCTGGTTTTTATTAGTGGGAGAACACAAACTACGTCTAAAGACTGGATTCTTAACCAGAAAGTAACAGTAATGATAGCATGATAATTTTTACCTAGTATGCCCACGTTTACTAGAGTGATAATACTATTATCATATGGCTAATCTTTCCTTGAGACTATTGTAATATCTTTATCAGAGGGTGCTTTGGGGGGGGGATGGGATTTCATACACACCTTTCAGTAAAAGGACATGATGGAGAGCACACAGAGGCTGGAAACAATGTTCTTGTCACTACTACCACAGAGCAGTGCTGGGACTGTCCTGCTGGTTGTCAGCAGTTGAGGACACTGGTCCAGGAGCAGTGTTGTGCAGAAACAGATGCTTGAGAAATATCTGGCTTTGATTTCAGGTAATTATTAAAAAATTTTGGTTTGTTACTTCACTTTAGCTTAACAAAGTAAAATAGTGTTTGTTTGCTTAAGTCTTCTTGATTTAAGTCAAATGATGTCTACTTTGTATTGCATCCTTCAAGTTACAGTTCTTTGCTTAGAGCAAGATATAATTAAATTTACCTTTCAGTAAAATAAAGAGATATGGAGGGAAAATGAGCCTGTAATGTGGTGCTGTGGCGCTCGATAAAGATGCAGGACACACTTTTATGGTGCAAAGAAGACAAGGACAGATCTCAGCTTATTTTGTGTGCCTCTTATAGTAGAGTTTTTAAAGAACATCCCACGTCTATCCCCAACTGGTCAGTAACAAGTTGTTACCCTGTATTTACTGGTCACTCAAACTCCCGGTGTGTACAGGAAAAGTTCTTTGTGAGAGATAGTTTTCATTTTTCTGTCTAATGGTGTAAAAACAGTTTATATGGGTGGGTAGTGTTTATCACAGTACTATAGTTCTTTCTCAGGGGAACCAGGTTGTTTGCCACAGACTTAGAGCTCTTTCTCAGGGAAAACAAGTTGTTTTTCACTGCTGCAGAACTCTGTTCTCAAGAGCTGTCAGCTTTCTCATGGCTTCTGTAGGCTCAAGTCAGAATTCAGTTTGTAGGCCTTTGGCCTGCTGTTTCTCTACCACAGTAATCTCCCTCTCCCTCTCCCTCTCCCATGCTATTAATCTAGAAAGAAACAAGTTAGTTTTCAACATAAATTTCAAAAAGCTCACAGCATAAGCCACAGACATCAGATAAATTTGTTTTCTGACTATTTTTGAGGTATGTTTTTGTACTTGGATCTACTTGTGAAGATCAAACCCTCTATGCTCATGGATTTATCACAGTAGCTACTCTAAAAGATCAGTGACGTTGTCTCAGGTAGTGCCTGAGACTCTCCGGACTCACAAGGTGAATTTTAAGATACACTGTTTAATACAGTGGCAGTTTGTTGACATTTTGCTTCCAAATGGTTTGGAGCTTGGAATTGGCAAATTTGTGTGAAGTCAAAGCAGTTGCCTGTGCCAACAGCCTGGCCTCCTAAATGCACTTGGTGTGCATTTAGAAACCTTCTGTTTCTGCCTCCATTATTCTTTAAGCCATCAAAACAGCTGCCTATTCTGGAGTCTTATTTAATTTCTCCAGTGGTGAGGAATCACCTACAGTTCTCTGAAATTATATGGTTTTCTTTGCTAAATAACAAAGTTCAGAGGTGGCCTCTTGGGAACACACACAACATAGGGAACTTTCCTGAGTGCCACTTTTTTTTCCCCTCTTAATTTCATGTCTGTTCCCAACAGGCGCTACTAGAGGTGCAGCATTTGTTTATTGACTGACCTAGTCATAGCAGAAGGCTGTGCTGCCATTCAGCGGGCTTGGTGGACTGCAGCGTTGAGTGGCAAGAAGTGGCATGAGGTTCAGTGAGAGCAAATGTAGGGTCATGCACAGGAGTAACATATACAGGAATAGCCCCAAGTACCAGCACAGGCTGGGGCTGACCTGCTAGAGAGCAGCTCTGTGGAGAAATACCTGGGAGTCCTTGTGGATGACAAGCTGGCCATGAGCTGGCTGTGCCCGTGGCGTCCTGGGGTGTGCTGGGAAGAGTGTGGCCCACAGGTGGAGGGAGCTCCATTGATTCCACATGTGGAGTGTTGTGTTCAATTCTAGTCTTGGTACCAGAAAGGTACTACTGGTACCACAAGGTACTACTGAAGAGGGTCTGGTGGAAGCCAAAAAATTATAAGGGATCTGGAGAGGAGAGACTGTGGGAACTGGGCCTGTTTGGTCTGCAGAAGACTGAGAGGGGATCTCATTAATCTAAAGTCGGGTGCCAAGAAGATGGTGCCAGATTCTTTTCAGTAGTGCCTAGCGGTAGTACGAGGAGTAATAGACATAAACTACAACACAAGAAATTCCACCTCAGCCTGAGGAAGATCTTTGCGCTGAGGGTGGCAGAGCCCTGGAACGGGCTGCTCAGGGGGGCCTGAGTCTTCCTCTCTCCAAACCCATCTGGATGTGTTCCTGTGTCACCTGCTGTAGGTGACCCTGCCTTGGCATGGGGTTGCTCTTGGTGATCTCCAGAGGTCCCTTCCACCCTAATGATTCTGTGATTCAGGTTTGAGCTGCAGTGTGAATTTAGGACCGGATAAATTCGGCCCTCCGGAATTTAATTTTTTTCCCCTCCGCTTTTTGTGTGCTCCGCAGTAGTGCTGCAGCTCCGGCTGAACCAGAAGCCTACGCTGTGGAGCACCGTTTGTTTCAAAGCACGTTTTCTTCAGAGGAACCTCCTCCCGCCTCATCCTGGCAGCGCGAGGGGCCGCGGGGTGCGGGGCCGAGCCCGTCTCCCGTCCCGCCCATGTCACGTGGTGCATGATCACGTGACGGGCGCACAGATGGCGGCCGGGCTGCCGCCGCGCTGAGGGGAGCTGGCATGGAGGTGTTCATCCCGTCTTTCCGATACGAGGCGAGCGAGCTGGAGCGGGGATACACGGTGAGGTGCGCCGGGGCGGAGCACGCCCGCGCCTCGGGGAGGCCAAGTGCCGGCAGCCAGCGGGGGCTGCGCTGCAGCGCTGGGCAGACATCAGTGTGCCGGGGCCGTCCTGCCCTCCGTGCCCAGGCCGGCCCCGACCTGCCCTGCCCAGCCGTGCCCTGACCAGCGCAGCCCGTCCTGCCCCGCCAGCCTTCTCCCCAGCTCTGCCCAGCCTTGCCCCGCCCTGCTCTCTCCAGCATTGCCCTGCTAACCGTGTCCTGCAGAGCCATCCCAGCCCTGCTCTGTGCACCCCAGCCATGTCGTCCTTGTCCAGGCCGGCCCGGAGGGAGCCGTGCCCTGCCCAGCGCAGCCTATCCCTGCTCTGCCCCTCTCGGCACGGGGAGCATGGCCTCAGCCCGCCAGACACCTGCTGCCTCACTCGGGCGCTGTTCTGCGGGGCGGCAGCAGCGACTGCGGCGGGTGCGGCGTGAGCGGCGAGGACGCTCCGGGAGGCAGCTGCTCCCTCGCCGCTCCGCCCTGCGGGGTCCAGGTGAAGGGGCTGGAGTATCTCTTGCATGTGGAAAGGCTGAGAGAGCCGGGACTGCTCATCCTCGAGAAGAAAAGGGGCAACAATGTCTCTTCAATACGTACCGATGACCTGAATGGCTAGAGTGAGAGGGCCAGACTCTTCGTGTTGGTGCCCGGTGACAGGAGAGAGGGCAGTGGGCAAAGACCAGAACACAGGGAAAGCTCTTGAAAGATATGACAAGACTGGCTTGTTATCATGAGAATGGTTGAGCACTGGCATAGGTTGCCCAGAGGACTGTGAAGTCTCCATCCTTGCACGTTCTCTAAACTTGGCTGGACACTGTCCTGGGTAGCCGGCTGTATAGCTGGCTCCCCTTGAACAGGCAGATTAGTTTGCACAGGTTTTAGAGGTCCTTTTTGTTCTCAGTAGTTTTTTCACCTCACAAAACTGTTGGACAGTAGCATATTCACATGGTGCTTGGTGGAGACAGGTGGACCAAAACCCAAGGTATTTATCTGAAAGTGGATATTCAAAACTTGCTTCCTCTATTAAATAAATTAATTTAGTAGCTTAGAAAAAAAATCTGAATCCTGTAGAACTTCTAGAAGATTAATCCATATAGGTAGTCATAGTTCCTTGAAGCAAGTTCATCTTCCTTATGCTGCATATTATTTGGTCTTCACTACTAGCAAGTGTTTGCACTTTAGTTGTGTCAATGTGGGAGTGTAGCGGCGTTAATACTTTTGCCTCTTGGGTGGACTTAAATGTAAGTGACTCTCTACAAGACACCTGTGTGGTTTTGGGGACTTGGCTTTCAAACATTTTGAACGAAATGTGATTGAGTGTAATTACAATAGCGCAGACTGATTCCACCACGTCCTAGTTGGGCAGGTTAGTCGAAATGACAGAGTGATTTCTAAGATGTGCATATTACACAAATAGGATTTCTCATAGTAATGTTTATTTTTAGTATTTGCATTTAGTGAGTTTCTATAAATAAGAAATGAAACTATATGATTCTAGGAGTCTTCCAAGAAAAGGATCCTGAGAGCAAGCATGTTCTGTGACAACACTGTTGATTGTTACAGCATTTTTCCTCTTGAGTCATTTGCTGGTGGTGAGTCAGTCTCGTGGATCTGAAAGTTGCTGTGGTTTAGTAGATTTTGGTAGTTTTTCCTGCGTGATTATTTTGCCATTTTATTCAGGTGAGGGGATTCTATTCTACATCCATATGAGCCATGATCATACTTTATGCTGACCATGAAACTGTATGAGGTAGTATAGCTGAAGTTTGTCTGAGTTGGGCATGCTTTAGGAGAGGATATGGAAAACTGCCCTGATAATAACGTTGTGTCTTTCCTTTGTGGTTTAAAGGACTATTCGTGAGAAAAACTTATGCTGGTCTAATTGTCAATTTGTGATTATGTAAATAATTTGCATAAGTATTGTTCCAAGTGCAGAAATTCAAAGGGGTATACTTTATGTCCTCCTTACAGCAAAACTGAGGTTAATGAAAGCTTTCCGTTGCTCTGTACTAGCTATGAAATTATACAGGTAATCCACTTTATGTTCGTTTTCATCAGCAGCTTTAAAATATTAGCATTTAAAAGTGTGGTTTACAGGCCAAAGAAAGTGTACTGCCTGTGAACACTACTGGCAAACTGGTAACAAAAGACAAGAAAAGGCTGAGCTGCTTAACTTTTTTTGCTTCAGTCTTCATTTGTGGATCTCTTTTCCCCACAGTTCTTGAGTGGATAGACTGCAAGGCAGGGAATGGGGAAGTAAGTTGTAAGAGATGATAAGGGTCACGAAGAACCTGAACATACCTGAGACTAAGGATGGTGATGAGATGCATGCCAGAGTCCTGAGGGAGTTGGCTGATATAGTTGCCAAGCCACTCTCCTAGATATTTAAAAAGTCATGTGAAATCTGAGGTGACTGGAAAAAGGAGTACCCATCTTTAAAGGGCATAGAAAGAAGGACCTTTCAAACTACCAGCCTGTCAGTGTCCCATCCATGCCTGGGAAGATCCTGGGACAGATCTCCTGGGAGCTCTGCTAAGGCACATGGAGCACAGGGAGCCAGGGCAGCTGCACCAAGGGTGAGTCGTGCCCAACCCGCCTGGTGCCCTTCTGGGATGGAGTGGCTGCATCAGTGCCTGAGGGAGAGGCTGCAGGTGTCATTTACCTGGGCTTCAGTAAGGCCTTGACGTGGCCCCCATAACATCCTCCTCTCTAAACTGGACAGGTGTGGGTTCTGCACATGAGCTGTTAGATGACAAGAATGTGTTGGATGGTCGCATCCAGAGGGTGGTGGCCAATGGCTCAGAGTCCCAGAGGATGTCAGTGGCAAGTGGTGCCCTCAGGGGTCTGTACTGGGACCAGTATTATTTAATATCAATGGCACAGACAAAAGGATCGAGTGCACCCTCACCAAATTTGCAGATGACGCCAAGCTGAATAGTGTGGTTACTCTACTGAAGACAGGATGCCATCCAGAGGGACCTGCATAAGCTCCAGAAGTGTGCCTGTGGGATCTTAATGAGATTCAGAAAGGCCAAGTGCAAGGTGCTGCACCTGGACTGGGACAATCTCTGTTATCACTCCAGGCTGGGGGATGGAGGGACAAGAGCAGCCGTGCCCAGAAGGGCTTGGGGTGCTGGTGGGTGAGGGGCTGGACATGACCCAGCCATGGGCACTCACAGCCCACAAAGCCAAACGTGTCCTGCAGCCAAAGCAGGGTGGGCAGCAGGGTGAGGAGGGGATTCTGCCCCTCTGCTCTGCTCTCCTCTGGTGAGACTCCACCTGGAAGGGGTCTGCTGCATCCAGCCCTGGGGTCCCTAGCATAAGAAAGAGTTGGAATCAGTCCAGAAAAGGACCACAAAAAATGGATCAGAGGCATGGAGCATTTCTGCTTTCCTCTTTCTGTGAGGAAAGGCTAAGCGAGTTCGTGTGTCCAACCTGGAGAAGAGAGGACTTTGGTGCTCCATTTTTGCAATAAACGGGGCTTTTAAGAAAGGTGAGGACAGGCTTTGTAGTAGTAGGCCTTTTCAGTGGAAAGGAAAGTGCTTTTAAACTAAAAGAGACTAGATTCAGATTAGACATAAGGAACACAGTTTTTACAGTGAGCATAGTGAAATCCTGCACAGATTGCCCAGAGAGGTTTCAAATGGCCCATCCCCGGAAACATTTAAGACCAGTCTGGATGGGACTCTGACTCAGCAGCCTGACCTAGACGAAGATGTCTCTGCTCATTGCAGAAAGAGTGGATTAGATGACCTTTAAAAGTCCCTTCCTACCCAAACTATCACATAATTCTGTGATCACAGAAGTTCCACTTTACGCAGTTGATCCTTTTGCTGTTGTTTTCCCCACGAGTGCTAACTTGCTCAAAATTAAAATGTTTTGTTGGACTGGAGTAGCTGGAACAAGGAACTATCAGAGCTTATGCAATTGAGAATAGCAGAAAAGGATGATGGAAGCAGATGGAAGATTGCTGACTTGCAGACTGCCCACCAGCCCAGTCACGTGCCAGCGGGTTTCAGAGGGTGCCTTCCGCACGGTGACTGCCGGGGTCGTTGCAGACAAGCAGCAGCCACGGGTTGTTTTCTGAGAAGAGTGGTGGTGGTTGTCGTGGCATCTTTGCTAGAAACAGTGATGGTGATGACCTCCTGCATGAAATGAGGGACTGAAGGGAGAGTTGTTCCTCTCTATGGTGGCTCTGCATTGCAACCCTAGCACACTTCCCTGACATCCCTGTGTTTCTAGTTCTTTATCTTTAGCAGAACCGAATCCAGTTCCCCTGGATGCAGGCTGCTGCTGTGTGTTCTTACTTCCTGAAAAGATAGGACACAAAAGGGGTATTTGTCCTTTTCTTTATGGGAATTCATTACCAATTGGTTTGTTTTCAGCTTAGGCCTGTTGTTTTAGATTATTTTCTTTTTTCTCTGATGTAGCTAGGCATCACTTGGAAAGTGGAATGGCCAGAGATCCATCAGTTCTGTGGAGAGGGAGGAAATGACTTGCCACAGAAAGTGGAAATTTCTGTCTAGCTTCAAAGGGAAAACTACAGTGCAATTATGAAATAGAAAGGGAGGTCTTGACCAGAGAAATAAAATACTAGGGATATAAAAGATTAGAAAGAAAAATTAGAGAAAAATATAATTATACAATGCTTGAGATTGGATTCTGTCATTAAAATAAATGGGAAACACAGTTCTTTCAAAAGTGTTTGTTTCAGGAGCTCAGCTTTTCTAAAGCACTGTTCATCTGATACAAAATCTTGAAAGTCATTTTCCCTCATCCCCTACACAAAAAAACCCAAGGAAAGACCCCAGAGTAAACTTGCACTTGTTCCAGTTCTGTTTGGAGTGTACATAAAATGATGAAACACAGAATATGGGAAATGTCAGTTTTCTTGGTGGACAATTAAATTTCATTGTCAGTTTAAATTGATGACACTAGCTTCTAAACTATTGAGCCTGTGCTAATAA